GCTGCCATGTTGGCCTGGCCCTCCCAGCAAGGAGCAGAGTAGGCCTGAGTGTCATTGTTATTTAGCAGGATGGATGGCCCACGAGGAACCGAATCCTGCCAATGATGACATGAACTTAAAGCAGGGCCTTCCCCAGGTGAACCCAGACATGACTCCAGCCCACTCAACACCTTGACTAGAACCTGTGAGACTCCCAGAGGGAGAGGACCCAGAAAGGCTGCCCAGACTTCTGACCCACAGAATCGATGAGATTAAAAATGTGCAAAATGCCGGGCTGGGAAGGTGGCTCACTCCTGTAATCCTAGCAGTCTGGGAGGCTGAGGCAGGTGGATTGACTGCGCTCAGGAGTTTGAGACCAGCCTGAGCAAGAGTGAGACCCCTGTCTCTACTGAAAACAGAAAAACTGAGACAAGAGAATTGCTCGAGCCCAAGAATTTAAGGTTGCCGTGAGCTATGACACTCTACCCAGGGCAAAGGAGTGAGACTCTGTCTAAAAAAAAAAAAAAGTGCAAAATGCAGGGGTAATTTGACACACAGCAGTGGCTAATACCGGATTGGCAGTTGGAATGAAAGCCTCCCAGTCCCTGCATGGCCTGGCCCCATGTACCCCCCTCCCACTTCATTTAGGACCCCTCTTCTCTTGGCTTACCTCTCACCAAGCCCTATGGTCTTTTTTTTTTTTTTTTGAGATTGAGCCTTGTTGTGTCTCCCTTAGTCGAGTACTGTGCTGTCACAGCTCACAGCAACCTCAAACTCTTGGGCTTAAGTGATTCTCTTGCCTCCGTCCCTAGCTGGGACTACAGGTGCCCAACCACAACACCTGGCTGGTTTATTTTTTTTGGTTATTGTTGTCATTGTTGTTTAGCAGGCCCTGGCCAGGTTCGAACCCACCAACCCCAATGCATGTGGCCAGTGCCCTAAGCACAGAGCTATGTGCCCTGAGCCCCCTGTGGTCTTTTTATATATCCAGTTCCTCCTGTTCCCCACTGCAGGACCTCTGCCCTTGCCGTGCCCTCCTCCTGGGTTTTTTCCTCCCCAGCTCATGGCCTGATTGGCACCACCTGATCATTTGGTTCTTCTCAACCAAATGTCACCTCCCCAGATTGGCCGTTGCTGACTTCCCCATCTTCCCGCAGTCACTCTGCCTTGTCTCCCCCAGTCACTTCCCTGGCACTCTTTGCCCCCGATGTTACCTGGCTTGCTGCTTTGCAGGCTGCCTTACGATCCTCCCTGTGTTTCCTCCAGGAAAATGGGGTCTCTGTGAGGGGCAGCGCTTTATTTCCGTTCCTAGAATCAGCCCCAGAACAGACAGGTGCTCAAGAAAGACTGAAGTTACTAATTGCCCTGACAGAGGATGTTCTCAACTAAGCTGCTCATGTCTGTGTCTTCTGGTGGCATCTGGCCCGGAGACTCGCACTTACCTTTTCTGCTGGAGCAAGAACCTCCCTCCCTGCAAAGATGGCCTCGGCGCTGGTGCTGGGGAAAGAACAGGGGTTTCAGTGGGAGGCACAGAGCACCCCAGCTGCACCCCTACAGCAGCCTGGGGGTTTGGGACCTACTTTCTTTTCACCCCTGTCAGAAGCATGCAGAGCCCCATAAATGTTGTCATATCTACCTTCGAGCCTTCGTACAGACCCCCCTCCTGGTTGGCTCTCACCACATTCCAAGTTTATTTAAGGGAACCTGGCCTCCTTCAGCCAATCCTTCCACGATTCCCCTGAACAATTTGAGTAAGTGCTACACTAGGTGTGGGGGTACAGGCTCTAGATGCCCTGGCAGCCATAAAGAGAAATAATCAGGCTTGGCGCCTATAGCTCAACCGGCTAAGGCGCCAGCCACGTACACCTAAGGTGGCGGGTTCGAATCCCCAGCC